GAGCTGTTTGTCCGCTCGAGCGGCCGTTCCTACGCTCGAGCGGAGATCGCGACCTTTCAGAAGTTTCACTCGCCTGCAAAAGTACTGGAAGTTGTTTTTTTCGACTCGAGCGGCTTTTCCTACGCTCGAGCGTAGACCCTATTTAGTCACACACGTTTTAGTCAGTCCGCTCGAGCGGCCATTCTTGCGCTCGAGCGGAGATCCCGGATCTGTTTTCTATAAATATCCGTTTCAGTCCGTTTTTAGGGAGACCGCTTCCAGATCTTCTTTTTGGGGATTAGGGTTTTCATTTGGAGCTTCTTCGCTTATTTCCTTTGATATCTATAAGAGTTTAATCATGAATTGAGTGGATTATATCAAAAGGTTTGTTTAGTTTGTTTTATTCGAAAAAGAGAGAGTTGTTTTTTGGTAGATTCCGTGTAACTTGAGCCTAAAGCTTTGGTGGATTCCGGAGTGGCTCATCATTATGGATTCAACATCTGCATTGTGGATTTAACGTTGGGCAAGACAACTCCGCGATAATGACAGTGGTGGAAGAGGCACATTGGGGTCGGTTCGATTCGAGCTTGGATTTGCTAGGTAATTGAGAGTACACTTGTGTAATTCTTTTATGTATTCTTAGTGAATTGTTTTGTGGCTTTTCCCTGTGATTTTTTATCACAATTGGAGGCGCTCCAATTGTGGTTTTTCCACGTAAAATCGTTGTGTCGATTTGTCTTGATTGTTTGATTGTGATTGTTATTTACTGCCTAACATTGATACATAATCACAAATCAATATTTAGGGGATTTCTAGATTTTTTCAATTGGTATTAGAGCGGGTCGCTCTATTTTTTTTTTATAAACTATTAGAGCGAGATCTTGTTTGATTTATGATAATGGATTCAATTCGTGAGGAAATTCTATGGTTCGAGCACCCCTCCTTGACGGATCTAATTATTTTTTTTGAAAAGCTTGGATGAGAACGTTTTTAAAATCTATTGATTAAAAAGATTGGCAATCTGCCATGTATGGGTGGACCAAACTGACGATTATCGTTGATGGGGTATCTTCCCCAAACCAATTGATAAGTGGGACACAATTGATTACCTAAATAGTAGCTGAAATAGTAAAGCTATCAATTCTCTCTTTTGCGCCGTCACACCTGAAGAGTTTAGTCGTATTTGCAATTGTGAAGTCGCAAAAGAGACTTGGGATATCTTACAAACTATTCAGGAGGGCATTCCTTCGATTAAATGCTCAAATCTTCAAAGACTCATGTCTAGTTTCGAAAACCTTTCTATGAAAGATAATGAGACCTTTGATGAATTTTATGCGAAGTTGAGTGACATTGTAAATTCTAGCTTCAATTTAGGTGAAAAAATACCGGAATCCAAGATTGTGGGAAAAATTTTGAGATCCTTGCCTGATCGGTTCCAACCAAAAGTTACAGCTATTGAGGAGGCTTAAGATATTAACAACCTCAAGCTAGATCATTTAATTGGAAATCTTCAAACTTATAAGGCAGATAAGAATTTCAAGAAGAAACAAAAAAATGATATTGCCTTTAGTAGCGTTCATAAAGTTGGTAAGAATTCTGATGAGGATTGTAAGGTAGATTCCAAGATTACAGATACTTTTGTAAAACAATTTAAAAAATCTTTTCTGAAAAAGAATCCTATTATTTTGGAATCAACTCATAAATCCAAAGGCAAAGATAAATTCAAAATTAATTCTATAACCAAGAAGGAGAAAAGAAAGATACAAAGGAACTTTAAAAGAGTTTAATGCTATGAATGCCAAGGATTTGACCACTTTGCTCAAGAATGCCCACTACTACAAATATAGATAACAATCACACTTTTTTTTGTGTGATGTATGTGTTTTAATCACACCTTTTAAGTTTTATTAAAGTATGGTCTTTGGGAGTGACACTTTTTAAGTGTCATTAAAAAATGATTTCATCACATCTTTAAAGTGATTAAAAACATTAGATCACATTTTTTAAGTGTGATTAATAACTAATAAGTGATTAAAAACATTAGATCACATTTTTTAAGTGTGATTAATAACTAATAAAACCTGTGATAAAAAAAAAATTCGACATATTTGAAGAATTATCAATATTATTTTTGTACGCGCATTTGAAGAGTATAATACACACTATATACTATATTTTGAATCAGAACCATATATTGAATGGAATAATGCCATATTTTATAAATCAAAGTTAAATATTCAAAAGTATATACAAAGGAATTAATAAATGTTTAACTATGTTTACATATACAAAGGAATTAATAGACTGTTCTTGTCTCACAGAAGACAAAATCGGGCATTTTCTCGTCACACAGAGTCTTCATCCCCTGCATCAAAAGAAAGGAATAACGACTTTGGTTGTTACTAGTATAAAATGTTTGTATTACCATATAAAAATATGACATATATATAGAAACGGGGGAAAAGCTCTATGTTTGCCCCCAAGTAATCACAAGCAATCAGCCGTGACTGAACTTCTTGTCTTTGTAAATTTGCAACAACTTGAGTGGCATCTTTACGGGCCTGCAAAATTTGAACATTGATATGATAAATAAGATTGAATATAGGGTCAAAATAAAGAGAAACATTACTGTGATAAATATTGTTGTGGTATAGAAAACTAGAGAAAGAAAAAATCCTTTGTTGCAAACAAATGGGAAAATAAAAAAATAAAAAAGATTAAAAATTATAATTTAGGTAATCTAAACAAAGCTAATGTTTAAATTATAGTCAAAATTATCACAAAATGTGTACTCAATGTACTCATTCCACATAATAATTATCACCATCAAAGATGATGTACTAAAGATAAAATATGAAAAAGAAAACACTTCAAGTTTATCAGGCTAATTCAAAAAGATCTTGGAACCTCGGGATTTTCTTGAAGTTCTGATGCATCAATGACTGCTGGGGGCTTTCCCAATTCACAAAGATTGCTGTATATGGAGACCAAGTCTCCCAATCCTAGCTCGAGAAACGATGGGGGCACAACCTTGTCAAAAGATGGCTGACAACATTCAACAGATTAAAATTAAGTCATCAAAATGATGAAAATCAAAACCAATATATTTATATAGATAGTCGACAGGATAAGAAACTAATATATTTTTAAAATTTTCAAAAATAGATAATTTACAGGAAATGATACAATATAAAGGAAAAACTATTTAAGGGGCCTATCATCTAAGATAAACGACAAATAGAGGTTACAAAAACAACTTACCAAAATACTAAGTGGATTTCGTATTAATATGAAGTGCTTTCCATTTTTTATCAAATCATCAGACAAACTAGGTCCGCGTTGTTTTGAGATATGCTGTAAAGAGGAAAAATGAGAACAAGTTTGTGAAGTGATATAGTTTGAAAGTGAATCAGTTCCTGCACAACAAATTAGCATGTGGAAATGACTGACATTTTCTGCATGCAACCAGTAAAATGAAATCATGGAATTAGCTGAACTACATATAATTTTACTGAAACCGACCATAACTGAGACCAATAAAAGCTCACCAAAGTTCAGAAAAACTCAGGATTTTATTTACTAACAAATTTTGTAAACATATCACACTTTCAGAATTTATAAAATTAAGATGCTGTGGTAGTATTATGATTGATTTATAAATCATGAACTCAAGGAAATTTATATGACCAGTTATCAATCTTTATCCAAATATGCACACATTAATGTACCTTTTGGGAAATACAATTTAGAAACATAAGAGTTAAAACACTGTATTTACTTCAATTGGTGATCCCCAAATGTGTATCTAATAGACTGTAATTTGACTGACTTTTCTTAGGCATCATACTTTAGTAATAATAAAGGGATTCAAATGATCAGAAATTTGCTAACATAAGAGACTGAGTTACAGCACCATCAAAGGCTCTAATATTTAGTCCCGAAAATTCAGAAAATATTGAAACAAGTTCGGGAACATAGGCATTTTGGAGTTGCTTTCCTCTTCATCAATTTTAGAAGGAAACAATAGTAGGCATAGGTGGAACCTGAATACAAAGAAAATTACCTACGCAGTTCATTCACAGAGAGAGCATTTGACCTTCTCAAAATCCAAGTTAAATTCTGTCAGGAGATCAATGCTGGATTTTTCCATTTCTCTGCTCAGAAAAATTCTATCAGGTTTTTGTTATCAGGTATGTTTTATGTCTCTACTCAAAGAATCAGTAAGTCATCCACTTAAGCACTACAAAGTCTCTTCCACTATTTTCTTACTTTTGTCCTTAGATCTGGCTCTTTTAGGGTTGTTTATTGGGAGTTACATGGTGCAGCACTATTTTCTTTAGCAATTTTGAAGAAAATAATAATAATAATTTAACTTGCTTTTAGTAAATTAATATTAACTCATTAAAAATAATATTTTTTAGATAACAATATGGTACTTCTATTTTATTTTTCTCTATTTTTTGACAAATATCTACTTGTCAGGTCAAGTATTAAGTATCGTGTGTTGTTGATTTAGACCTACTTCCACCCATTAAAGTTTAAATTTTTCTACTATAGACAAGTTCTTTGAAAACTTAAAAGTTGTAATTAAATATTTAAACTAAAATGGTTAGTTATGAAAATATTTTATACATATCTTAACTCCACTCTGCATTTTATATACATTATGTATTGAATATACAATTTATATGCTTTTTATCTTTCAAAGAACCTTACTTTTGTAATTTCAAGGACTATACACTGTTTGGTGTCTTGTTCTCACAAGATATTTGTGTTTGCTATAACTATATTTATTTTTCTACCCATTTTTATGGATGTTAAAAGTATCTTATGATACACAATATGATACAATACTCAACTCAAAAAAATAGAAAAACAATACTCAATTCGTATCCCAATTTGACAACTATGGAAATGATATTTACAACTAAGATTTTTTCCACATACTTTCATCATATTCTTTTCCTCATTGTTTGTTTTCCAAGTTAACAACACAAAGATTGATGATTTCCATTGCATTTCCTTTTCCTTTTCCTCAAAAAATTGATGAACCAAACAGAGGATTAGTAATCTTATCCGAGGATGGACAATCATGAATAATTTTGCAGATTGACAAAATTATTCCAAAGCATGATTTTACTAAAGAAGAAAAATAGCACAGAATTTTGTAATAGGTCATGAAACATGAGCAATCTTGAGTAATTGATAGAGAAGCTTATGGTTAACTTACAGAACCGATATTTCTTTTCTCCTGGGCCAAAAATGATATCTTTCACAACTTTATTCCCATCAGATTCCTATTCATGTCATACAATCAATTCCAACAATATGAGATACAAAAGATAATGAGAAAAGTACACAGTCTAATGTCTAATAAAAACAGTAATGATAAGCAAATATATAAAATATCAAAACAAAATATGTACCAGTACTAGATTATACAAGCCCAACAGATACAAACCAAACCCCTATTTTGACCATCCACTAGTTCTTTTGATCACCAGTGGTCTGAATGAACTTGATGTGGAAATGTAGTAATTTTCCTCATCAAAGAAATTTCATTTGGTTCAGTGTCATAGGCCTGCCAATTTAAACTGGAAATTTTCCTCTTATCAAATAATGTCACTAACTGCAATAAAATGATATTACTTTCTCTGCAATAGGAATGATTAGGCAAGGGCTCAAATTTCTACTATGTACAAAACGAAGAAAACAAAACTTTCATAATGTACAGCAATTCGTGTTACATAAAACAAAATCATACATTTAAGATTGCAGCAATCTGACCCCAAAACAAAGGTACCTCACAATGCTGAGGGATAAAATCAACTAATCTTGTTTCTTAGGCATTTGAGTTTCTAGCATTTCCTTCTTTAATATCCCTGCTAGTTCATCATTCCCTTGTTTTGAGTTTCTAGCATTTTCTTAGGCATTGCATGAAGATTGGCTTTAGAAACAAATCCCTTCATAAACCCATTTTAATATTTTTTAAATAAAAAACCATTCAAAAACACATTTAAATATAAATTTGTAAGAAATTTATCAAATTTCAACTCTAACCTTATAACTACTTGTAGCCCTTAGCCCACTCATATTTGTTGAGGATCTGAAATCTGAAAATTAACCATGATAGGGAGCACAGTAACATACCAATGCACTGAAAACATCAAGCAACCAAGAAGCAAACATGATAGCAAAAGGAAAAATGTGATTGTGCTCCAATTAATGATTTATCAACATCAACACAACAAAAAAACAAAAAACAAAAAACAAAAAAAAAAACAAAAAAGAAAAGAAAATCTGAAATCAAACACCCACCTCCGCTGTATCCACCACCACCGGTCAATCACCCACCTCCGCCGTATCTACCACCACCCACAACAACACCGCCCAATTTCCATTCCCTAACCTCAACAACATCACACTCCTCATCAACTACAATCTCATCCAATCCAGACCCCAAAAATAACATTCGATCCAACGAATCTAATCTCGAATCCAAACCTTTCTCTCTCTCCTCCTCCTCCTCCTCCTCCTCCATTGCAATCGCCGGCAATAGTAGTCTTCATTTGGAGACCGAAAGCTCTCTGAGATCAGTCTCTGACATCGCTCTGGTCATTTTCTTCCCCAATTCGTCGATCGGAGAAACTAAGACCATCGAGACCAATCGAGTCTTTGGGATTTGAAAAGAAATCTATGTCTCTGGGGATATTGATGACTCTTTCAAATGTGGAAGCCATGAATTTAGAACTGGATTTGATGCACTTCGAAGAAGCATTGTAAGTTAAAAACCCTAGTTCTAGTTTTGAGATTTGTGTATCGACATGTACAGAAGTAGGGAGAGAGAGAGAGAGAGAGATTTGAAATTTGAATTCTAAGACGTGAGGCCGAGACCAAAAAAACAAAAAAGGGTGTGATCTTGTACCATCTGAACCATTGAAATATTGTATCATCTGAGCCGTCCACGTATATACACAATCTATTAGTGATTTGCAACCGTTTCCATCCATAAAAGATATTAAAAAGTCACATTATAATCGCATGTTAATTAGAATATGTAATTAAAAAAATATATATATAATTATACTTAATTAAAAAGTAATATAAAAAATAAATATTATCACACTCAATCGAGTTAAGTATGATTAAAATATCAATTTAATTTTTTTTATCACATTTCTAATTAAAGTAAGATATTTTAATTTGTTAAAGTATGATCTTTAATTATCTTTGTAGCAGTGAAAAGACAAATTTGAGTGAGTAACTTCAATGGTGGTTCGAAACTGTGATGAAGAAAACGAAATAGGGCTTCGTTTAAGAAACAGAAGGCAAGGAGAAGAGACTTGTGTGTTTGTGAAATTCAATCTTGTTGGGAATAGAAAGAGTTGTCCTTTGTTATTCATGGGTGTAGAATAGAGGCGCAAATTTGAGAATTGTATATTTTATATAAGAATCAAATTGGAACATTTTATATAATCACACTTATTTAAAAAGTGTGATTAAAAAGTAGTAATATATATATAATCACACTTTAATTAGAATGTATGATTAAAAAATATATATATAATCACACTCATTTAAAAAATGTGATTAAAAATGTATGATTAAAAAATATATATATAATCACACTCATTTAAAAAATGTGATTAAAAAGTAGTAATGTATATATAATCACACTTTAATTAGATATGTGATTAAAAAATATATATATAATCACACTCATTTAAAAAGTGTGATTAAAAAGTAGTAGTGTATATATAATCACGCTTTAATTAGAAGGTGTGATTAAAAAACATATAAATAATCACACTTTAATTAGAATGTGTGATTAAAAAATATATACAAAATCACACTTATGTAAAAAGTGTGATTAAAAAGTAATAGTGTATATATAATCACACTTTAATTAGAATGTGTGATTAAAAAATATATATAAAGTGATATAAAAAATAAATATTATCACACTCAATCAAATTAAGTGTGATTAAAATATCAATCTAATTTTTTTTATCACACTTTCAATAAAAGTGAGATTTTTTTTTTTTGTCAAAGTGTGATCTTTAACTATTTTTGTAGTAGTGGCCCTACTCGTTTGAGGAAGAAGAAAGCCATCGCTATCACGTGGGATGATGAATCAGAGTCTGATAAAGTGACAACGAAGCACAAGGCGAAGAGGGACATGAACAATTCCTTGCTTTCATGGTGGCTTCCGAAACTGAAGGACAAACAAAGTATCCGAAGAGTCCGGTTGAGAATGTCACTAATGATGAATCCTCGGGGAATGATGATAAAGAGCTTTAGCACGGGTATGAAAAGTTGTATAAGGAATCTCTTAACTTATCTAAATTGAATGACAAACTCACTATCAAATTCAAAGCTTATGAAAGTGAGATTGTCAAATGAAAGAAAGAGATTTCTGAGGCTAGGAATGATGCCATTAAGATTTCAAGTAATCGACAAGCTCTTTATGAAAAACTCTTGACTTATGAGACAAAAAGGAATGATCTACAACAAATCTATGCAACGTATTAAGAAAAGATTAAAATTCTTGAGATGTCTCAAGTTGCTTTGGAAGAACTAATGATCAAGAAAAAGGAAGAGCTCAAGTGTGCTACGGCTACCATTGGTCTTTAGAACAAAGGATCAAAGACTATAGACAATATCATTGGGTCTCAACAAATGTGTTATGACAAGAGAGGCATTGGCTTTGGTGATAACAAAGAGTAAAAACAGAGTGCATCTACATCTCATAATACAAGAACTCAAGGAAAGGGAGAACAGAAAATTCAACATGAGAATGGACTTCTCAATCTTCCTAGAGTTAGTAAGGCCAAAGAAAAAAAGGTACACCCTGTTTTTATTTGTCATCATTGTGGTATGTATGGTCATATTCACCTTTATTGTTATGAGTTACATAGGAGAGTATCTCATAGAGATGGAAGAAATTCCAACATCTCCTGGGGTATGAGACACTTTATTGGTGGTAATGAGGTTTAGGGTCATGTTAGACCTCGTTATTTTGATTTGCTAGAGACCAAACATGAACAGATGTTGTATTTGCCTAGACCTAGAAATAGGAAGTTGGAAACCAGGTCAAGACAGGTTCTCATTGAAGAGGAAGGGAACCACAACGTCAAGTCACCACCCAAGAACCACAAGTCTCACAACTTTGTTCATACTAAAGCGGTTTGGGTGAGAAAACTTGACATGTGTTAATTTGCTTATTCGTTTTGTATTTTATTTTTGCGTGTCTGTGTGTTTATTTCTTTTTGGGCCATTTAGTGTGTGCTTGTTCATTTTATGTCTTGCTTTGTTTTTTTGAAAAAAAAAAAAAAAAATCAAAATTTTCTTAGTATGGTTTTGCAAGCTTGAAATTTTTGCGAAGTTCTTGTTGCATATTGGAATTGATGAGAATATCCATTACATGTTAACATGTGTGTGCTTTCTGTGGTGATTACTCATTTTTTAGTCTGTGTTCTTTGATTAGTATGTCTCATTTTGTACACACTCTTGGATTAGCAAATATTGGAGTCATCTACCTCAGTGATCAATTTTCTTTATGAACTTCTAGCATTGTGTCTTTTGCTTTTCTAGAGGAATTGACCTATACTAGCATATCATGGGTGATGTTGAGTCTCGTAACCACCTCCCATCTTTTTACATCTCCATGGCTTTCTTTTCAATTCTTTGCAGTCAATGCATGAGGCAAAGGTTACCTCAAAGTCACCAACCAGGTCATCCTAATTGTATCTATGCCTTTCTGGTTCGGTTTCTACACTCCTGAGCGTGAAAACTGCCAATGAGTGCAAAAGAGAAAAAAAGAATGTGCAAAAGAAAAGAAAAAAAAATGTGCAAAAGAAAGAAAAGAAAGAAATTTGCAAAAGAAAGAAAAAAAAGATTCATTGATTGAGGTGGGGCCTCCGTTTTTACTCAACAAATACCCCTTAATTCCTAGTGGTTTGACTTTCTTTAGTTGTGCTTAGATTCTGTTGCCTGAGGTCTAGCTATCTAATCACTACTAGGTTTTGAATCTAGTGTTTGTCGAACTCTAAGAGTCACACACACACTTTTATCATGTGACCTATGCTTTTCACATAATGCACCACTTTCTTTTATGAGAAATCTTCTAGAGACTGTGCACATTGTGTTTTCAAGTAATTGTGTTTCTTGGATAATTTTGTGTGTTTTAAGGTACAAATCTAATTTGCTCTACCATATTATTTTTGTCGTTTTCTTCTTGTTCATTATTTTTAGTGTTTGTGGTTTCTTTTAGTGAGCGTGAGTTTGGTTTATTAAGTGCTAGGTGTGTTTTTAGCATGAACTTACATTGATTAGTTTGGTAAAGAAGATTGGCATTAGTTGATTTGTATCTTGATATCCATTGCTTATTTATTGCTTACTTCTCACATGTTATTAATTTTTGCTTCCTTTTGTCCCTACTTGTGTGGTTTATGCTCTTGTTTTCGTTAAGTGAGCTTCCTTTGACAATTCGTGACAAAAAGGGGGAGTCATGTTGGCAGGTGCATGTGTCAGGTGCATGTGACGTGTTGTTTGGCAAGTTGGTTTGTGGCTAAAATAGCCACAAAAGACAAAATATGCTATTTTAGCCACGACAAACAAAACATCACATCTAACCCATAATCATTACACTCTTCTCTCACAAAAAAGTCAAAAAGCCAAAAAGCCAAAAAGCTATTTCCAAACCAAGCTTTTTAGCCCAGGCTAAAATAGTAAAAAAAAAGTCAAAAAACCAAAAAACCAACCCACTTCCCAAATGGAGGCTTAGGATTTCATGTATTCATGCTTCATCTTCTTAAAATCTCCAATTTACATCTTTTCATATTTCCATCTCATGCTTCAAGATAATCTTGTCATATGTCTATTGCTTTTTGATATACTCTTGTGGCACTAATAGTTGTTTTGGAGATTGTGGCACTGATAGTTGTTTTGCAGATCATGACTTTGAGAAAGAAGTTTGCTTTTGTTGGTTGTAATATGTTGGGGTGATTAGGATTTTATTTGTTAGGTATGTTTTGTCACAACATTGCCAAAGGGGGAGATTGTTAGGTTTTTGTTCTTGGCAATCCTGTTTAACAAAACTCCTTTTAGTTGTAATTTTATTCGTTCTTTTATTTCAGCGAGGCTATGAGTTTTTAGCTGTGAATCTAACCCGAATTGTGCCTTGCAGAGAAGTTTCAGAAGTTCATTCTTTCATGTTTGCCATTTCGCCGGCTATTTCGGGGATCGAGTTACTCGGTCAGCTCGTGGGGGCCGAGGGGCAACGCCCCCGAAGAGACACATTGGATTCAGTTCGATTTGGTCTTGGATTCGCTAGGTAATTGAGAGTACACTTGTGTAATTCTTTTATGTCTTCTTAGTGGATTGTTTTTTGACTTTTGCCTGTGATTTTTTATCACAATTGGAGACGCTCCAATTATGGTTTTTCCACGTAAAATCGTTATGTCGATTTGTTTTGATTGTTTGATTGAGATTGTTATTTACTGCCTAACATTGATACATAATCATAAATCAATATTCAAGGGATTTCTAGATTTTTTCAAGGATGAAATGAATTTTGTCACAAATTCATTTAACATTCTCCTTAGAGACACACCATTTTCTATCATATTTTTTTATTGCATGCTCACAATGGAGCCTAACTTCCATTGTGACTGGACAGTAAGAAATGCGGCAAAAACTAGTGTATTAATCTTATTTTTTTCAATTTATTTAGGTAAGCATATGTTAAAAACAAAGTTCCAACTTAGGCCTTGTTTGGGAAGTTAACTATTTTAGTAAGCTATTTTAGTTTTTGACTATTTTAATAGGTTAAAATTTTTCTGTTTGGGAAAATGATTGGATTTTTTTGTAGTTGAATGTGATGTTTGTGAAAGAAAAAGCGAAATGGTTATGTGTTTGATGC